TCTCCCTGAAGTGGCATCTGAGACAAACATCTAGTGACAAGGAGGTGCCCTTCCTGTGTCCTCTGCCACAGCTGACGACAACGTCTCACTGTGCTCCAAGGATGGAAAATGTGAGCGACGGAGGGATCCACGGGAACAGAAATAATCTGTGGATTGTGAAACGACGAGGAGGAGTGAAAGAAGCGCAGTCGATAAGGGTAATCGATAGTTTAGGAGGAGTTTGAGAAAAGCCAGAGAGACTTGGGGTTGAGTGAGGCACTTTCAAAAAGGATCCTGGTTGTTTGAGTCTCCAGGCGCCGCTTTCCTTTCCTCTGCACTCCACTGCTCTCCTTTCTTCCCCGATGCTTATCAATCTGTGATTAAACCTGCCAACTTTAATTAGAATATGTTGGAACACCTCTACGCCTCCTTCTCGTATGGTGCAGGTGTACAGGGTCATTTCCAATCAAGTTGTCAGAACGCCGGGTCGAAGCAGCAGGTACACAGAGAGAGATTCTCATAAATAGATAACATGGCGTGATAAGACACAAACGAATAGATGCTGTCCTTGACCATTAACATCCATGCTGCTAAAAACGGTTATGCATTATAATCGACATGGCACCGACCCAAACTTAAAGAAGGAGTTTACAACTCACAGCAGAGGGACTTTACATTAGAACCACCTGCAACCTGACTCGTGCCTCTGCACAGTTTACAAACTGCCAAATACTAACATCATTCCTGCGCCATATTTTACTAGACACCTACTTTTATTGTGGCTAATGCATAACAATTTAGCAAAATAGCCGTGGTTAGTCACACAAGTTATTGGTTTCAGTTACAATGTTTACAGAACAGCTGGAGGAGAGCAGCCGAGGTGGGGATGCATGTTTTTTTTTTTTCTATCTCTTGCTTGTGTGGCCAGTCTTTTTGTAGATAACACCCCACCTCAGAGTGGCTCAGTCACACCGAAGTAGCTGTTAGGGATGAAATTAATCCGACAGAGGATTCCCCAAGGATGCACAACCCCGGCACTAAATAAAAGGAATGCATAAGGTGTCCTGTTGGAATGTTTCTCAGTATGTAAATCAGAGCGCGATGTACCCTCTTGGCTTAATGTATTAAATGCTGCAGCGCTCCGCCTCGCTCTAGGATGGGAAAGAATAGCGACCACCGTTATTGTTTGACGGATGAGCAACAAGTTTCACACGCGACGCCTCCTGCGTGGAAGGTGGGCCAACTGCGGCACCTGCCATCATTCCTCATGGCCATCAATCTGAATCCTCCCCTCACTTTTAAAAAATGCGGTCTCCTCGTCTCCATCTACCTCTCGGGAACCCCCTCCCAAAGGGAAGCTAGCGACTTCAGCCCAATTTAGGCAATGAAGCCTCGCGACCGACATGAGGGAAGGTCAGCTCGACATGTTAAGAAAATGAACTTTTGAGTGTGAGTGGGGGGGTGGGGCATGTGCCAGTGTGTATATTAGTGTCCACAGACTAACTTGCTCAAAGTGATCCTTTAATTCTTGTAGGTGGATTTCAGGTCCATCTCTCTTGGTTTTACGAGAGCTTTTCAGTTTCTTCAGCCTTCCAAAATCCAAAGTACAGTCAGTGTAAAACACTGACTCACCCATAAACAAATCACAGGCCATTATACCCTTAACGTGGTGAAAGCATGAACTATGTATTAACACCTTTTGCATGGAATTATACCAGCAGCAGTTCAATCTATTTAAACTAATTTCATTGGCACAGACTCATTCATAACATTTTATCTACCGACACGCTGAGTCATGGAATTCAGCTGTGGCCAATTGCCAAGCAGCAGGGTTACTTGTGGCTGTCATTGATTGGTTGAACTCTAAGCAGAAAGCTGAAAGGGCACAATACCAGGAACACAGCCCGAAGCAGAAACTGGCAGTTCGCGTTTTACTTTACTCTCTCATGCTTGTAGCTTTTTTTTCTTCTCCAACTGACTACCTGCTTTGTTGTGTCAGTCTCTTCCTGTTCCTAGTTTATCCCCTCATGTTCCCCCTCTGCAGCTTTTCCAAATTACCATAGACCATTAGCCTTGCCCCTCTGTTGTGTAATTGTATCTGCAAAAGCAAAGCGGGGCCGCTCACGTCCAGAGGTCACCATTCCTCTGTGGCTTACATCCTGGTCCTTCATCTCCATGGTCACCACGATTCCAACCAGTGAAAGCTGGTAAAAACTATCCCAACGCGGCTCTAAAGGCCACCATTCAAACCATTAATCATATCTAAAACCCCTACTTCCCACTAGCACTAACCATTAATAATGCATTTGTTTTGGAAAAGCAATGCGATCATACAGTGGGCTTAGGACAGAGAGAAAATACAATCTTTAATAATACAGATTGATTTCCATCAGAATTACTTACAAACTCCTTTGGCCATTTGTTACAAAAGGGCCTCGTGATATCCTCTAATCATTTTTGTTCAATGAAATATAAACAAGGCGCCGATTGGGGGATCCGTTCCTTTTACACATAATTCGGCCATTCAGGGATATGGAGTTAAAGTGGCTTTAAACAGAAAAGGGGCACAATACAGAGGCCTTTATATCAAGCCGTCCGCATCTGCATATTAGTAATGAGCATGGGAGCTGAACCAGTGGGGAGAGAAGAGAACCTCAGTTCAACAGAGGCAGGCACACTTTCTAATGGAAATTCAGATACAATCATCCCAGAATGCACTTCTCTCTGCCTAATAATCGGCCACTAGAACAAGGCGGCCATTGAGAGGCGAGTGACTGTAATCTGCTCCGCCAAACTCCAAAGCTGCCCGCTATAATTAGCTCTTTTCTCCATCAGACACAGACTTGCACGGACTCAAAAGCAAACCTCCCGTGTGATACAAGAGACGGGCGAGATTTAGTGAACGGCACATTTTCAGATGAGCAGAGACATTTCTCTGTCCCCGGCATATGGAGTCACTCTGCGTTGACAGGTGTGCTAGCTGTGAAATCGGTAAAAGAGCGACAGGCCACCAGTTCTTTCAGCGGCACGGTGTTTTGGAGGAGAAAGCCTGGGTTGACATGGAAAGAAGATTGTCTGGTTCAAATTTAGTGACATTTAAAATCATATCAACCCACGTCCGGGTTTACAGACTCAGAACATGCTTCACACTAAAGGGCCCAAATCATTGGATTCCCCTGTGCAGAAGTCATGTTGAAGAGAAGTGAGGGCTATAATGAAAAGGACACATCCACATCTCTGGCCTACATCCTGACGAACAAAGCCTGCCCTCCTCTAATCCCAGGAACATGTTCTAGCCCAGGGACTCAGGACGCGATCCGCAGCCCAGGGGCGGGCGGACGGACAGGGGTGAGTGGGTATACTGGTAGCTCGCCTGCTGTCAGGGCAAATGGCACGGCCATTAGGGGAAGAAGAGGCTTCCTGGAGAGGTGTGACTGCACTGCAGAGGGCCCAATCAAGCAGCGAACAGAAGCGCTGACAGCTGCTAATGCATTTACCTGAGAGCAAAGAGACCGTATTGCCGGGGAAAGTGTGTGCACTTTTGTTTACTTCCCCCGTGGCATGGTCGTTCCAATTAAGTTGATTGAAGCTCAAAAAGCACTCAGTCAAAGAAAAACCAGCAAACGCAGGGACTTGTCAACTTATTGCTTTGGTCAGGATGTTAAATCGTAAATCCACTACACGGGTCCTGTTTTTAGAAAATGTCCCCTCCATCTGGGAATGACACAGCAGTACAGGCCACAGCCCTGGCTGTGTGAAGGCCATATCACAAATCTACACAGATATTCCCCTCCTAATCCCTTCCTTCGAAGTCCTTCACAGTCAATCTTAAATCAATACCCCAGCGGCGGCTAGAAAGACCACTTTAAAATGAAAGTACTGAAGTCCGGCGGAAGGACTGCGAGAGAAAAAAGGGAGTGGCTGGCAGGGCAATGACCACTTTGAGTCGTGGACACACCGATGACAAGTTCTGGCACAGAAATAGATTAATAGTGGCTCTAATTGTTATCATTATTAGGTCACCTTGATCGGCCTGTCTCTACCTTGTCCGAGACCATTAAGGGGTTGACGAGCTCTGTCCATCCAATCCAGTTGGATATAGATCTAGATAATTAGTAGATATGACCACATGTATACGGCACATCCTGTCTGCGAAGATTTTAAGTCACTTGTGTGACAGGTTAAGTTTACCAGGAGCACAGGACAGTTACTCCTCAGCAGGGCGTTCGCACATTCTACCGCCGTGTCACCAGGAAGCACTTCACATGCAGCCTGCAAAGTTAGTGGGACATTTAACAGAAAGAGGGAAACACATCTTTCAAAACAACTCCAAGGTGCAAGAGCTTAAATCCTGATGTTAAAACTGGTGAGGGCTATGGTTTGTGGCTACTAAATAACTACAACATGACCAAAAACAGAGCCCAGACAGTCTAAATCAGCATTTGATCAGAACATTGACAAACTAATAAAATCAAACAGCTGACAGCAAACACCCCCCCCCCCCGACGCCCCTTCTACCGATTGAAAATCCGTATTGCTGCTTATATTCCAGGCATCCTGGGGAGTTTCTCCAGGCCTGACAGGACCAATGCATTCCAGGTGTTTTAGTACAAACCATTTTTATGTTTGGATAAGATCCATCTTTATGACCCCCCCGCCCTCCCCCTCCTCTTTCTGCTCGGTGAACTTCCCGTTTAATAAAAACAAACAGCAGGCACAGGGCAGATGTTGCCTGCGACGGAACCCGTCCGACGCGCACACGCGCGTGCATCGTCATTAGAACAATCGCTGTTATTATTTCTATTAAAGGCTTCAAATCTCCTCCAGCCTCATGGAGGCGGCGCGCGCCTCCCCGCTCCATAATCACCCGGAGACGGTTAACGCCTGAAATAAATTATATATATATATATATATATATATATTTATTTATTTATAATGTGTGTGTGTGTATATGTTAGCCTTTGTGTTTCAAAGGGTTCCATTCGCGTGTGTTATTCGGTGCAAAAGAAGAGTCGACATACCACCGCGTCCTCCGCCGCTCGTCCGCTCCTTCTTTCCCTTTTCCTGTCGCTGCTCCTCTCGCTCACAGCCGGGCGAAAGGCTTGCTTTTAAATAATAATAATATATATATATATTTTAAAACACGCTCAAACACTTCCTACCAACACTGACATGGATCGCGCTCCGCCGGTTTTTTTCTTCTCTCTCAAATCAGCGGGCTACCTGTGTCCATTGCTTCCCCCAATTAAGTGCTCGTGCTTTCATCGGAGTGAAGTTTTCCAGAAACGAGATGCGTATCTGTGTCTCTGCGAGAGGAGGGAGTGGAAGAAAAAAAAACCTAAATTTTCGTCAGGGAAAAAAAAATAGCTGTTCCAACTCCGGTCTTTCCCCCCTCGTCTGGAAGCGAGGAGAAAAGGGGTGGAGAGGCTTTGTTAAAGCGCTGTTTCGGTGTGTGTGTGTGTGTGTTTTTCTTCCCCTTCTTGGTTCACCACCACGTTGTTTTCACCAGTTATTATTTCCTTTGTTGTGTCAAACATAAAGAGTGCGGATGAAACGCGATCAAAAGCCCCCGTCTGCGTTTACCAGAAGCGCCACTTTCAAAGCGCGGCGGATCGTCCCGATCGCCCCTCGTCTCCTTTCTCCTCTTCAGCCCCTTGCAGGCGAAATGTGTGACAGCGTGTGGAAGTCGATTTTTTTTTCAGCTTCACAATAATGGCGGACCGTCTCCCGAATCCAGCATCTGCCCTCCTATTCACAGGGAGGGAGAGAGGGAGGGAGAGAGAGAGAGGGAGGGAGGGAGAGAGAGAGAGGGAGGGAGTTGCCCAGCGGTTCATGGACACAATTACAACTGACATTGTTTAGGAAGATTTAGACTATTAGATCTTTTTCCCTCTTATTTTTGAAACACGTTGCATATATTCATTTTTTTCACATTAGGCAAATTTGCCAAACAATTTTTCTGGATATTCTGTTTTTGAGTGCACTTATATTTTGATACTAAAGCAACAGGGGACATTTCCTCATCATGTGATGATTTTTATATTACGTTACTACTTCTCCCTCCACTGATGATGAGATACGTACACTTTGTTTTAGGGTTATATCTTTGGCCTATTAATTAATACAACATTTCAAACTGGATGTGCAATGTCACTGATATGAGAATGCTATTCCTTGTTTCCCTCACTGCAACTTTCCTTTCAGGGCAACACGGTTTCCGAGCAACAGTGATCCTTGGCCCTGTGTCTCACACATTACGTCTCCCAATTGATCCCTGTTTTCCTATGCAGGCTGAAACATTTATCCAACCCATAGATTTTAACAGGACGTGGCTAGATAACTGGTATAAGATTTGTTGAGCCTTTACCAGAGGATTTCAACACCAAAATGTAGCCAGCACGACACAGGGAAAATATTTAACACCTTTTTTTTCTGAGGGGGGGGAAACATTATCTCCAAAACTGGTCACAATTGTATATATATGTTTCCATCCACGTCATATAAGACTGGCTGTGAAGTCTGTCCTTCGATTTCCCGACACAATTAAACATTTTAAGATCCTGAAGTGTTTCTTTTTCTCAGAAAGACAATGCAGCTACTTTCACATAGTGTTTTTCTCAGAAAGACAATGCAACTATTTTCACATACTTGGAGAAATGTCTGTGAGAGGACAACTTCCTGTACCAACAGCACAAACGGATAGCTCGTGTCTCGTGTTGTTCTTCTCTCTCGGAATGTCACCTCTTATCTACCCGATAGTCCACCCTTTCTGGTGATCTACATTCCGTCTAATATCAGAGCAAATACTTCCCAGGGATGAAAAACCTCAGTACATGTGTATGTATTGATTTGAAATTGAAGTGTATTGTTAGTCGAGGTAAATGGCAAAACTAAAAGTAAATACGTTAAAAAGTAATTATTTGTAGGTATATTTTTCTTACATGAGTTGTCAAACTATGACGCATAAAGTACACCATGTGTACTTTGACAGTTTAAAATGTGACCCACTGTTAAATAAATAGTCAGTCAGGGTTCAAGGTGCACTGCCCACTGTTTGATAAAGTCCACACACTTCTGTCCGATCACATTACTGACTGTGTCCTCAGTCATATTTGCACGACCCCAATCACACAGAGCATGATTAGTGGGGGTCAGTTTTTCCTCTCGAACAATCTGCATAGGTTTCATATCCGTCTCTCCCACCAGTGTTTTCTTTACATGGGCCAGACCCGGTCATACAACTTGGTCTTTTAGCTATTAAATTACAACACAAACGGGTATTTGTGCTATTCGGTTTTCATGTGAAGGTTACAACATGCTGTGCTTTTATTACCGTAGACACACCAGAATCAAAACACAGCTGGAACATGGAGGAAAGGGTATGTTTATTGCTAATTCGCTGGTTGGTTTTGCCTTCCCCTTTGTATTTGTAGCAGAAATATTAATGGGTCCCGAGAGCAAGCACATTCCTTCATCCACAATTGTGCAATCCCTGACAATCACAGTTTCCCCATCCCCCACTGACCCCCTAAAAAACCCTGAATGCTCCAAGAGGCAAGCTGTCCAAGCTGCCTGGGCAATGTTCTGCAGTGAATGGCTGCCCAGCTAGACAAGTAAACAAACCCTGAGCCCTGACTCTGCAGAAAACACCCACAAACGATGTAACTTCCAGAGGTGGAAAGATGTCTTATTTTATACAGTGTATGAAAGTTATTTGGAGCATAACCACACACAAGCGCGCTTGCTCGCTCACTCGCACGTGCACACACACACACACACACACACGCACGCACACACACAAACACAGAGGCAAACGCGCACACACACACACACACACACACACACACACACACACACACACACACACACACACACACACACTATTGTGAAGAATTTGCTGATATACCGTTCATAAAATGAAATACAAATAAACATAAATATGTATACAGCGTATATATTTTTTCTTTTGGTGTTGTAACACTGTAAAACGGATGCTGTTAAATATGTTAATACATGTTAAGCCGGACAATAGTATTGAGTTCCATTTCCATATAACCTTCAGTTTCCTCAAAAACAGAAGTGTTAAGACTGATTGAGATATGTCGATGTTTTATAATGTAATTTTTATCTATAACTACAGTTTTTTGGAATTCGTATAAGAATCTACATTTCAACATTGTTCTGCAATATAAAAGAAAAGAGTTTATCATGTGATCCAAAATGCCATTCAAGTGAAGAAACTACGGAGGGATGCTGGTTCTTGAAGTGCAACATGACCTCCGAGTAGCTCTAAATATCACGATGTAAACTACTCTCCCCATCATGCACCGCAGCTCACTAATGGTGTTCACTTCCTGTTAGCTCGGGCAAGATAGCGGACGAGCGGTCGAAGAAATTACTGATGTATTTTTGAACAAATCCTCTCAAAATTCTTCGGGAACGTGCTATTCTGGAGCGTGCCAGGTCCATATTTAGGAGACAATGGTAAATATGTCACATATGAACAGCATTTGTTTCCAATAGTAGTCGTGTTTTACCGCTGGTTTGCTAGCAGTTGAGAGTTGGCTGGATAACGTCTTCATTCAGTCAGTTAGAAAACGTTAGCCAGTCAGCTAGCAGGTGAGCTTACTTACCGTAGCAAGCTAAAGCCTCAGATCGGAAATCACAATGTTTTATCACTGACACCGACAAGCACGTCGCTCAAAAGTCCGGCAATCATTTTGACTTCTTTCACAATCTTGCTGTCAACCAAAATGGGTGTGGTTTAGCTACCGCGAGCTTACACGTTAGCTAAAGCTTAATAATAAAATACTGCAGATGTATTAGATAACCGTTACTCACATGTAGCTAGATAGTATTAGCTTTGTTTAATTGTAGACGAGTGAAAGCCAATAACCAACAAAGTAACACTAACGTTATATAACGCTAGTCTAATATTTCTTCTCTATGAAGTAACGTAACGTTATCTTTTTTTCAAATGACTTAACGTTAGACCTCTGGGACGAGTAACGTTGGACTAGTTCTGTCGTAATCTCACCGTGTCACTTTTCATTTTCTAATTTTTTGCACAGATCCGCTTCATCCTCATCCAGAACCGAGCAGGGAAGACACGACTGGCCAAATGGTACATGCAGTTCGATGATGATGAGAAGCAGAAGTTGATCGAGGAGGTGCATGCTGTGGTAACAGTCAGAGATGCCAAACACACCAATTTTGTGGAGGTATGTGATTATTTAGTATCATATGTATCGATCCACCGTTTTATTTTTCTGGGTGATTCTGTGACCTTAAACAGTATGTTCCTATGTTCAGTTAAACCAGAACGTTGTTATAAATACCGTCCGAATGATCTCACTGGAACCATGCCGTTGTTAATACTTACTGTTATGGCTTCTTAGTAAAATTACAGGGGGATTGATGAGTGTCCCACATTGTTAACGTTTTCCACTAGCTACTTTTAAACAAATCCTCTTTCAAAGAAAATAAAATTCAGCCAATGGATGGTGTTCTGGTAAACGTCAAAACAGAATAAAAATCCTCGTCTACTGACAAGTTTTATGATGCGTTTTTATTTCCAAGGTAGTCAGTATATGATGCACTGGGTGAAGCTGGGAAGCTTCTTGCCAGGCAAAGCTGCTGTTGTCACAATACGAGGGAAAAAGTTGTAAAGAAGATTTTCTTTTCTTTTTTTTTTTGTTCTCACAGTTCAGGAACTTCAAGATCATTTACCGGCGTTATGCTGGTCTATACTTCTGTATTTGTGTGGATGTGACTGATAACAACTTGGCATACCTCGAGGGGATCCACAACTTTGTAGAGGTAAATGAAATACACAACACATGACATACTTAGTAAGTGAACTATGATGATTTACTTTTCATGGTCTGATTGTTTGGGGGAATGTCCGTTAATGATTTCCTTCAAAACATTTCCTCTACTGTCTCGCAGCTCCATAATATCAAGCGTGGATTTTTTTTAAAGTACGAATTGATCTCAAACAACATTTAATGCACTGTACTATGTATATTGCTCAGATGCATAATACTTCAACAGAATATGGAGTGTTGCAAGGACAACACATGAGTCATAGTTTCATCATGTCAGTCTATTTCAGTACAAATTAGTAGAATAAAGGTCCTCTTGCATTCTTATGTTTAGGGGGAATCATTGACTTTTTCACTGTTCGATAACACTAATTATATTGATGCTGGAAATAAGCCTCCAGCAATAAAATAACCAATTGATCACTAATTAAAAACTGAGTCTGATAGCAACTCACCGCACATGTCTTACACAAACACTGAAATGGCAGTGTTCACTTTTTGTAATGTGCAAACAGATTTCAGAAGAACGTTGCAGGTTTCTTAATAATGTCCGTTCCAGTTTGATTGTACTCAATTCAGATGTTGCTTTAAATAAAATCAGCTAATGATTAAATAATAATCATGTTGTTAGTTTTACAAATTGAATGCATATCAATTGGAAGCTTATAGTAGGATCTACTGTTTGTTTTTGGCTTCGACAAACAGTAAACCATTTTGTATTCAGCGCCCTCCAGAGTGAAGGTCATTTCGTGTAATGTTTGACTATGAAGAAATGCAAGTAAGTGCATTCTGAAAGGCTAAACAATCTTACTCTGCGCTTTCTAAGCCTATTGTTGCTTATAATTATTGCTTATAGTTGTATCCTGAAATTGGCTTCTCACATTGCTGTGAAGGGAATTCTCTGCAACTACAGCATCAACATAATCTGCAGTAATGCATCACATTAAATGAGCTGTATTTTATATTCTAAACATCAATATAGCAGCAAACAACTATTAGCTGTGTGAAGATATGGTGGAGTAAGTGTTATTGAGTGTTGTTATCTAAGCTTCTTCTTGCTTTATCGACACAGCTGCTCTATGATTGGAAATGAAAAGTCTGCCATTCTTACCGATCATCTCTTTCCTGTTAGGTGCTGAATGAGTATTTCCACAATGTGTGTGAATTGGACCTTGTGTTCAACTTCTATAAGGTAAGAACATTGCAAAACAAACAAATTGTATTCCTTTTTTAGAATTGCCTTGATCAGAGAGAGAGAACAGACCACTGCAGACGGCAGGGGGAAAATGTTGCTTTCATCATGCTGCGTTCACACCAAAAGCGAAGCAAATTTTCGCCACGCTTTACTCGCCCGACTAGTTGTAGTTATTTCGCCTCATTTGCGTCCCGCTTTATTCGCGCCTGAAAGGGGGCGTGGCTTATCTGTTACTAGTCACCATAAAGACAGTTATAATATTTTCCCCTATCCACCATGGAAATAAATAGCCGCTATTTCAGCTCTTTATTTATTGTGTGAATTAAACAAACGTCGGAACCGCAAGCGGTGTTGTGTTTGGGTTCGGGGCATCATCCGTCTCCTCACACAGCTTGAATTTCACCGACTCCTCCAGGAAGTGCGTCTGTGTGTGTGTGTGTGTGTGTGTGTGTGTGTGTGTGTGTGTGTGTGTGTGTGTGTGTGTGTGTGTGTGTGTGTGTGTGTGTGTGTGTGTGTGTGTGTGTGTGTGTGTGTGTGTGTGTGTGTGTGTGTGTGTGAGTGAGAGAGAGCTTCATAAAGTGTATTACGCTTTGGCAGCAGGACGGCAGGGACGACGAGCAGAGTTTCTCAACACTGATTGGCTTTCGCAAGACGGCGTCGGGCCATTCGCGTTGACTTTGCATGGAATCTACTCGCGCGAATAACTCGCTTCGCTTTTGGTGTGAACGCAGCCTCACAATCAATGTCAAATTGACACTATTTCCCAACTCAAGCAGTCATTCTTTTCCTCAACCATTCTAGTTGGGAATACATGTATGTTTTTCACAGAGAGAACCGCTAAGCAGCAAGCGCCTCTAAACTGCTCCCCAACTGCTGCTAGAGCTCTTACTAATCGCTGAAGTGTCTCAACAGCCGCCCACGTGCAGGACTTGAACCAAGCACCGACATGTTACACCCAGAAATAAGACAAAATCAATGTTTTTCGGACAGAGTAGTTCAAATTTCATAGATCAATGCCCAGCTGCTCTTTCACAAGTTCAGCCATTCAATTCTCCCTGGTGCGTGACACAGAAAAGGACGGCTTCTTCTCTGTCATCCCTATTTCTACATTTTGATGACAAAGAGTTGAGTAATGACCACAGGAAACCGTCTCAGCCAGTTTTCCAGGAAGCTCCAACCTTTCAGGTGTAGGGATAAAGATAATAGCACTTGGGTTTCAGGTCCAGCAACACGCAGTGTGGTCTGTGGGATTTGCGCTGCCATTTCAATCCTCTCGTATCCGCCCTCTAATGCCCTGCCTTTGTCGACACTTTAAGGTGTACACGGTGGTGGACGAGATGTTCCTGGCTGGAGAGATCAGGGAGACCAGTCAGACCAAGGTCCTCAAGCAGCTCCTCATGCTCCAGTCGCTTGAGTAGAAAACATCCTACCTGCCCATTGCCCTCGTTCCTCACCTCCCCCACTCCTTGTCCTGTCACTCTGGAAATCCCTTTCCTGTCTCGGCAGAGCAGACCCCCCCACACCCTTTGCAAAACAGGAGGAGGGGATTCTAGAACTAGAAATGCATAATGTTGTGTTCATATGGACTTATGATGGGGAGCTTCTGTTTGTCCAGCACCAGTCTATATGTCGCAATATTCTGCATTTCCTATACTTCCAACATCTGCCAGTATTTGAAGGCTGTGCATTTGAGTGTTTAACATTTCATCATGTTAACACTTAACACTAATGGTCAGTTTCACTTCTCCAAAGCCAAGGGCTTCAGAAATGAGTCATTTCATTCAGTAACCAATTAGTCCTTGCATTTATCACTGCGCCGTGTGGAAACACGGCTCTCTCCTGCCCTCCCTTCATTAGCCTCAACCTACATTTAATGGCACCATTGTAACTAACAAGCACCATGCCTCAAGAGCGACTACGTGCAAAAGCCCATTTTAATAAATCCCTGTGCAGAAAGTCCTTGCCAGTGATGCGGCGCTTGACCTGTCGAGCCTGTAGCTCAGTTTGCGTCTGGGTCAAAGTACACGTAAACTACAACTAGGAAGCCCTTTGAGAACAATTGACCCGTCACAGCGAGTTCAGAATTGAATCGAGTGTACTTGGCATGAGGGCCATTCTGACGGTGTCATGGGAACCTGTGGTAACATCCACGTGGCTGACGATGATAAACGCTGTAGGTTATGTAGGCTCTCCATGTTGTAATTGTTTTCATTGCGTATCGAATGATCTAGATGACTTTTGTTGCAACACATTACATAAAATGGTGCTTGTTGGTCACACAACACACACGGGAATAAAAACCTGGACGTAGAAAGTATATTTTACACAAAGCAGTACTGTGTCGTATGGTGTGTACATACAGTGTATCTTGTGTATGTTGAATATTGTGAAAGTAACAAAGCATTCCAAGTTTTTTTGTCACTGTATTGTCTGAGGAGCATTTACGTGTGTAAGATCCATGAAATGAATTGGCTTTTAAATTCCTCCTACAAGCCTCATGACAAATGAACTTTCCCTTTCCTCACCTTTAAGGTTTATAAAATGACTCAAATTTGACCTTATTCTCCAAACCAAAGGTGGTTTCAAATGTTACTGTTGAACTTTTGTATTTTTTTTTTTTTAAGATTAGGCAATTGTGAAATATGTACTGCTTCCCCTTTTGTCCACCTGTGTGAGATTGTTGATGGAAGATGTTTCTTTGTATTACGGTCTCCAATTTAACTACCCACATCAATACGTCCCATTATATGTAAATAAAAAGATGAAGTGATACATGATCAAGTGTCAATTGTTTCTAACTCGAGTGCTATGACGGCGTTTTATTCAATATTGTTTTAAGACTGATATTTCAAATTTAGACAACGAGCTGATAAATATTCCTTTACACAAGTTAGTTTGAGGTATAGCTTCTAAAAGGACCATGACCAAAACGAGCAATCCGTGTATGACATATGGACATTTGGGTTTTAGCGCCATCTAGTGGTCACACCTGCTCCTGAGTAAATTATGCAAATTGTCTATGAAGTCATCTTGACAGCCCGTCTAGGATCAATAAATCAAGTCTATATATCCACTTCAGCTACATTAAACCACTCTAGCCGTTACTTCATTGATCAGAGAGCATAAATCCAGACAATTGGACACAGGGCATTTACTCTTCTGAGTCCTCCAACATCCTAACGTCACCCCGAGAGAATGACTGAATGGAGGCGCAAAATGAATCATGTCGATGGAAAGCTTTTGTTAAATTTGAAGCTTTAAATCTGCTGCCTGTAAAACCTAATGTTTAATAAAGTATTGCGCACTGGAGTTACAAAAACTGGATTGGACGCATATTTAGGATCTAGTGTACTTGGGTTAACAAACAAACCTGCCGTCACAGAGAAGGGACACATATGGACAATAACAACCAGGAGACAGGTAACGGATTAACTGAAAAAAAACAAGCAGTTTACTGGGAATTGCATATTCATTACAATCAATGAGCAACACTCACTCTCAATAGACAAATCTTATTTACAGCATCGGTTACCTGAAATGTACAGTAGTATTTGGGGTTGATTACATAACCTTGGTTACTAAACAATAACTGAGTCGGACTGCGTTCATCACATGATTTGAGTCTAGACAGGAAGTGACAAATGATGCTCATAATCGACGGATGGATGCAAGCGGACCGGTTCGACGGCAGTCAACCGTTCACATGTTTGATTAGAAATGACAAGCTGTGGATGTGAGTGATCAGAAACGGTCTCTTACAGACCAGGAAGTAAATATTCTTACTCCCTACCTCCACAAACAAATACTAACGACTAAGATGTGAACGCAGAAGCAAGGAAATCAAATCAAGCAGCTCAGTTGTTATTTAGCAAGAAATTATAAAATGTGTACAGTTAAAATCTTTATTACAGTTTACTGTCAAGTTGAATAAAATGTACAATTCTATAGTTGCAGCATAGACACAAAAGAAAACAGGAAATTAAAAAGTAAAAGTGCACTTGCAGAAGGAGACGAACTATCACACATGCCAGTATTTTATGAGAAAACAAAAAAACAAAATGATCTGTCTGTTGTTATTGTGTACTATAATGTTTGCACGGCTGCCTTTTTGAACTTAAAAAAACGCTTTTGGTTTGCCTGTGAGGCCACGTGCCAACACGGGGAGAAGACCGGGGAAATAAGACCCGCGGGTAGTTAGTTTGGATCCTGGTGTCCGGGGCGACCTGCTCTCAGTGATTCTGACAGAAGCACAGCGCCTTCCACTCGACTGCAGGACAGGATGTTTTTATGTTATAAACTTGCAACCCCCGTTCTCCACTGGTGGCACCACTGGCCACACCGGAAAAAAGGAACCCATGCTAGAGTGGAAACTCCCTGTTTCTCTCCGGGGAAACGCGGGGTCGGTTCTAAGGAGAAAACATCTGGGCGGACTCGGCAAACGCTGTAGCAGAGCTGCTGCTTCTTTGCTCGACAAAGAGAAGTACTTGGAAGGTTAAAAACAGCGTTCCTGCACTCACCAGGACGCACTTACAACCTTGCACGACAACAGTGTCAAACCTCCATGAGAGAAGCGAGTGGGCGGAAAGTTTCCCCACACATGGCGCGAAGGCAAACTGTTTCCTGTGACGCCCCCGACACAGAATGTGCGCCGTAAATTAAAAAGGAGCCCAGCATGAGCGGTCGAACATTTTACCTATGCCAATAATTATGACCCTGTCTTCACCTACACTGGATAGGACCAGAGACACTGGACGCATGCGACCATTCGATACATCTGATTATGTAAATTTACAGGCCGGAACTTGAGAAACATAGTGACGTTTTGTGCTTCAAACCTGACCCACAAGACTTTCATGTGGATGTCGAAGGACGTGATTGGACCATTTCCTCCAAAAGTGTAGAGACACGGTAATTCTTAATTATACACCGTAGGTTGACAATATCAATTTTTTTTACTCAAGCCAACACTATGTTATAGTGGTGCATTTGAATCCAAACCAAATGGTCAAATGTCTCAACAGAACACACGTCTTAGAATGAGTAAAAGAACTGGGCTTTACGTTTGGGCTTGTACAAATTCGAATAAATCAAATAAAACTATGTATAAACACTGAGCAGCTGCTTCACTTTGGATCAGGACAAAAATACAGCTGGAGAAACCTCACCAATGACTTACATTGTGTGTGGTTTTCGACATATTGTAGATGAATTCTTATCCGCAATGTGCACAAGTCAACTTCATTCAATATATAAAAACTTAATTGTCAACATCAATGTCTGAATCCACGTGAAAGTTAACTCAAGTAACGAATAGTACTAATCAACGAGTGCCTTCAAGGATATTACAACTCAGAAGCCAAAACCAAACTTATCTTGAAATCATATTCAGGTTGAACAATGAATATGCCCAAAATAGTTTGCCATTAATAATTTACAGAACAATGTGCAAACATAGAAAGCATGTAAGTGATAATAAAACCAGAATGAAAAGCACAAAGGTAAAACAACAGCAGGGGAGCCCGTACACACAACCCGGGACTCTGCCTGGTCCGGTGGCTTTACTTTATGATCCCAGCGTCCGCTCACTGAGGCGTTTCCCTGCCCAGACACAGGGGGAGTGGGGGCGGTACCAGAGGTCAGAGGTCAAGGGTTGCAGTGATCTCGATAACCACCTATCCAGGGTGTGTGAAACTGCACGGCGATGGGTCTAACACACCAAAAAACACCCAGGGCTGTAGCAGAGACAAGAGAGGAATCACATATCAATGCATGTGCAACATTTGAAAGGTAAAGAATTGTGGCTATGACCTGCCACTGACCTGGAGGGAGCGTCCCGTCTGTGTGGGCCTGTGGGCGGAGGTGAGGGCAGGGCCCCCGACCCCTAGCAATTACACTGCTGCTTATTCTGCGTGGTGGTGCCTCTTGGCTGTCGCAGCTGCCTCAACGAAGCGTCTCCATACTGGATACCTGAACCCATCCTCTCCGGGTCCAACTCTCCTTTGGGAGTAACCGCGATGAGTACAGTCAGCGACGAAGACGTAGTAGTGAGACTATAAAAGCTCAGCAACCTTCCGCATGCATGCGAGTGCAGAGATCCTAAACAGTGATGGATGAGCGGTGTACCTGAATCGATCTTGTTGAGGATGATGCGAGCGCACTTCAGGAAACCCTCCTCGACATTCTCTCCCGTCAGAGCGCTAGTCTCTAGGAATATCAGCTCTATGAAGATTTTAAAAAAGAAAAAAAATGAACAAGAATGTAGAAAATGTTCGAGATGGAGTGGGGAAGGTGTGGGGTGGCAGAAATTACACGATAGTGCAGAAAATCAGAGTCAGATTTAACATCATGTACCGTTCTCCTGCGCAAAGCGCGACGCTTCCAGGAAGGTCACTTCTCTGTCGGCATCCAGGTCTTTCTTGTTTCCACACAGGATAATCACAATGTTGGGGCTGGCTAGAGTCCGTGCGTCTGTCAGCCAGTTGGTTAGGGCGTTGTACGTCTCCCGACTGTGAGAAGGACAGACAAAGTACGGCAAAGTGGCTGGTTTATTGTCGTGTAAACTCAAGGGTCAAAGTCACAAACACGTTGTACATGTGGCTCTTTAAAGTACTCTTGACTTTGTGTGGTAATTCATTAACTCCCCTTTAAATCTATCAAACGTATGTTTTGCGTAGCTTCTCAAAAATGCATTTTTAGGTTTTTTATTTACTTTTCTTGGTTATATTATAAATGAGCTTCTTTGTTTATATAAATCTGTGAAACACCAGATTATAAATTCATCAGTTCCTCAGATATATCAGACTGTGTAACACACCTACAAATAAGAAATGTATTAATTTTTTCCCCTAAAAATTAAAAAAAAACAAAAACAATATTTAGTTTAGCATTTGAAATACCTGTCAATGTTTAATAAAGACCAACTTATTAACACGACAATATACCAACAGTGTGAAGTAATTTGTTATTCAGAAAGGTCTGCCCTCTACTTGCATAGACACTTCTTGGTCACTATGGTGACGGGACCCTGGTATCCATGGTAACATGAGGCCCGTGGGGTTAGCAGAAGGGTGTTAATCAGCAGAATGTTTTACAGCTGCTAAACAGCCAAACAATGATGTAACTCCTCATCTACACGCTCTCTCCCGCCATCAATTACTTTGCTGTCCCTTTTTAGCTCAGAGAAGTGAGACATGTCTCCAACACCCGCACGCCCCCCCCCCATCATCTCTCTCCACATGCGCCTCCCTCCCTCCCCCCAAGGGGAGACTTTCTGTGACTTTTTCTTTCCCGTTAGTTGCTGCCGCCTCAATATTACAGCTCCCATCACTCTGTATTACATCTCTCCTTCCTCGGCGGCCCAAACATCCCCACAAACTCCAACTGTATTCCGTTCCCGTCCCTCCGTCTCACTCACGACTTCACAACCCCTCCATCGCTTCACTAATGAAAATCAGGCCTGTGTGGGGGTTCTGGTAATCATATTTCACTCACATTGCAGAGTTTCTAGAGGTAGAACGGATACAATACAGCTTTTTGAGACAAAGACAGACTGAGCACCACTATATAGGGAAATTAAAATATTTAAAGTTCAGCTTCATGGCTCAGTCAATTAAAAATGCAGGTCCTATTTCAACACACCTTGGCTGCGAGTGCCCCACTGTTAATCTCCTTTAGAATATGAACAATATTTATTCAGATACACAACTATGCAGTTGGACAGTGTGTACCTGGTAATATCATAGACGAGAAGCGCTCCGGCTGCTCCTCTGTAGTAGCTGCGTGTTACCGAGCTGTAGAGAATGCAGAGATTGTGGTTAAAGAGGAATAGATTCACAAAATCAATGTCAGCAGGAGAAATCTGGCTGACGAAGGTGAATGAGAAGCAATCACTGTTAACTGGTTATCATCCCTTTAATGGAGCTGCTTAGAGATCCTGGAATCTCCAAATTCCACTGTGGGTAACTGAAGACAGCATGTGTGCTCAGTAATTCAGATCAACCTTTTATCTGTAAAACAGCTCGCCAAGCCCTTAGCAGGAAATGTGGTGGACCGTTACCGGAATCGCTCCTGCCCAGCAGTGTCCCAGATCTGCAGTTTGACTGTCTTTCCAGCAACGTTGACCACTCTGGATCCAAACTCCACGCCAATGGTGTGATTGGAGTCCTGTTTAACTGCAACAGGAAGGCGGAGAAAAGAGAGTGAAAAAGAGAGTGTCACATTCTTGTGCCGTTTAAAGACTGAGACATAGTGGGGACCACACTTACACACCAACACGGGGAAGAGTTGTATGTGCTTCAACAGACGTAAGCTGTGAGCCTCAAAACAGCTCACATCCTCGTTAGAGGCTAAAAGGAGTCTGCATGAGATTAGCACAACGTGTCCTCCTTCCCCCTCCGGGGGACAGCACAGGGTCCTAATACACCTCCATTCAAATCAATATGAACATGTTTGTGAGAAAAAACATTTTCATGCTTAGCACTTACTGACTAGTCTTCTTTTTTACACTGGAATGCTGAATTACAGGTTTGCTTTGGCTCCGTGCTCCATTTGTAAAACAGCTCTGCAATAAGTCCCGACTTTGTGAAGAGTATGATGTTCACATTTGTTGACACGGTCAGAGATAAAAGTGTATATTTAACTCAAATTTGTACAGCATTATTAGTTTGGGTTTTATACTTGATTACAATAAGTGGAACAGGAATGTTAAGAGTAATTGTAATCTAACCATGAAATGACAGCCATGACAAAACATTCACAGTAAATAAAAAATATCAACTTTAAAAGCGATGGTACAATAAAAGGTCAGTTCAAATCCATAAAAATTGCCCATATCAGAGTTAACTACATGGAAAACAGATGTGTATCATGACTGATTGCACAGCTTTATACCTTCCTACAATCAAATTCCAAAAAAGTAAAAAAATTAAAGGGTTTTATTTTGAATTGGAAAATCAGAAATGTACACGGAATGCTGATGTCATGTTTATAACTTGCTTGATACATTATTACCTACTGTGAATGTTAGGAACCTTGACAGACACACAATTACTATTCTTCTTTTGTTTTGACTGTACATGGAGGTCTATAAATAACTATTTTAGGAGGAACTTGTTGAAAAGTAAGTGAGTGAAACCTCACAACGGTCTGAAAGGGTTTATTGTTGAGTTTGTGATGAAACAATGCTTGAAATGAACAACAGTAACAGTGATCGTGTCAATCTCTGTCTGCGCAACAGTATAACAATGTTTCATATTGCGTGTAAATATAAGTCGGTGAGATAAAACTTACATTTGTTCTCAATGAATTGGTGGAGGAGGCAGGATTTCCCCGTCCCAGCGCTGCCAATCACCAGGAACTTAAACAGGAAGTCTGCAGGCAGAGGGGAAGCAGGTGGAGATCAATGCAACATCGACAGCAGGGGAGAATGGGAACCTGCTGCGCTCTACACGTCCCAGAGGCAATCCTTAGATTTAATCGTAATCCCATTGAGCTTCAACTTGCACCGTACCCAACAAACCTCAAATTAGCCCTGCTGATCACCACGACTTGCATGTAAATCGGTATAACCTGCTACCTTATGATTCTGATTGAATGTGAATGTGGATGTTGGTCTTAGGTGGAAAACGGCTGTGTTTAAAGAAGCATCAGCACTTAACCTGCCATTTGAGCAAAAACAAAGCTTTAGTTATTGAAAGCTGCTGTGGTTAACTGACTTGCGGTGGGATTGTGTGACAACAACCAGCTGGCTCTAGACTTGTTGTGGAGAGTGGGCCTTACCACCAAACCCAGGCATATGACCCAGAGTCCAACTGATTCCGGGCCCTGACATCCAAGGCTCTCCACACACAGAACAGACAGCCTTTGTGTGCCGTGACCGAAGATAGTAGAGGCCAGGGGCCATTTACATCCGAAGGCTGGACATGAGACAGCGTGGAGATGAGGTGATGAAAAGTGTGTGCAAATGATTGGTGACTACTGCAGAGATCACAAGCAGGGTGAACATCCTGGGACTGTTCAGCTCCAGCTAAAGTCAACAGAGACAGTAGTTTCAAAACCCAGAAGTGCAGATGAGCTCGATCTTTAGCTCTCGTGTAGCATTTGCACACATTATGCTCGCGCTCTTAGAGCCACCTTCATCGGCCAACACCAACAGCAGCCAGCTGAGTTCATGGTGCACCGTTGTTGGTTGAAGCGGGTGTTTTCTCAGGCAACATAAATTAGAGGACAAATATTTAGGATAACAGAACTGCTAAAGCCAGGTGACTACAAGCAACAGCAGCCAGCGTTATTACCACACATACTGAACTGACAAAATCAAAAGCGAACAGCTTTGGGTTTTAAAAGCTGGCCTCAGCACTTCCCCAGAAGAGATCAGCATATGACAATAAAGCTGTCAATACGTCAAAGCAAAAGGGAGAGAGGAGTGCAGCGCTGCCCTCTCAGTAGAAGCCTTTCAGGCTATTGTATTATTTACACGTCAATATTAGATAACCCTCGAGGGAACAGACCGACACCGACATCCGCACTCACCTACACTGTGACCACACATATCACACCGAGGCCCAGACCGACCTACAAAACGCACAGGGAATTTGCACTCCAAGTTATAGACAAGGTTTTACCTTATTGGACACGGCAGAATATTGCAGGGATCATATCATTCATGAGAGAACGTAATATGATTCAAAAAGTCTTATGTAACAGAAGGCCAAAATCAATACCAAGCAAGAGTGTGTTTGTTGGTTTTTCTGTCCAGAGATAAGATGGGCATTTCCTCTATTTTGGGATTGTTTTATAGATTAGGCCATAAATCACAAGGAGTATTGATTCATTAATCAACGACTAAACAAATACTCACATTTGGCCTTCATAGGGCAACGTGGACTATATGCTATAAATAAATACATTATATGAAATAGAGTTTGCTTTGATAAAAAGTAGCAGTTTAAAATCAGGATTAAAACCAGCAAGTATACTTAAAAACTGACAGATTACACAATGGGATTTGTTTTAGAACATCTTGTTAACTACACAAGATAAACTAATGGAACAGTGCCATAGAGACCAAAAGAAAAGTCTAACCAGCCCATCCACTTCTGTATTCATTGACTTTTTTGCCAGTTCCAAATACTGGACCTCCAGGACCGGAGACAGAAACAGAAATCGACCAACTATCCCAGCTTCCATAAACGCTGCCACTTTACCCTAAATACTGCCCACTGGAATCAAGTTTCATACAAGAACTGATGGGAGTAGAAGTGGAGGGCGGTGTACGTGACCCAGTGCAACATTAGAGGCTTTATAGTGATCCATTTCAAATGGGCTCTTCCGTTCATGCGGAACAGTAACAGTCATGACTCGCGGTCAGTGGTGCATAATGCAGCCCCGTCTTCTCCCGTGCAAAGTGGACTGTCTGAAACCCATTTTTCAGGATGTAGAACCAGCGACACGCGTAACAGCTGCTGCTGCTCTACAGGTAATCACCGCCATCGCTGCTCAACTTCCTCATAGGCCTCGTAGCCAAAGTGCTTCACGGATACTAAAGACCGACCGCAACATCAGTGCAGGTCGCGAGGGAAACCGGGCTCCTTTATTTCAATAACCTCAGGTAACCCCCGCGCCTGCTAAACACGTTCCCGGTGTACCGACGCGGTACCGACGCGTTGCGTCTGAAGTTTTGTCCCAAACTTTTACCTGGTCAATGTGTCACCGCCCGTTTTCTCACGCCGCGTTAAGGGAGCGCGGCGCTCCGCCGTCGCAGGACGTAACCGTTATGTGCCCGTTTAATTGTAAGGCGACGCCCAGCTGTCGCCGACCAGCTCCCCCTCCGGAGGAAATGTCCGCAAACAATCTGGCGACCATCACCAACGCGCCGGTGGGCACGGTGAGGTGGCAGCCTGCGGCTAACAGAAGCTAACCACCTAGCTAGCTCACTAGCAACGTGCTAAGAAGCAGTATTAGCGTGTGTGTGTTTCCAAGAACGTTAAGGGCGCACAAACGTACCGTACGTCTCAGACATGTTGACCCTCGCTGTGCGGAGGCTTCAAACGGGCCTCTTTTTCTTAACGTTCTCCTGGTATTGTGACAACCGTACCCACTGGCGTCCCACCTCTTCGGGGTGTTTTATCTACGATGCTAGAGGTTTCCCTGATCCTTTCGCTGCTGGCGTCCTCGCTTCGACCACAGCCAAACACGGCAGCGGCGCGCTACGTCATTCGATCGTCTGGTGATGCCTTCCCGTGTTGCTGGCGGTGTGGGAATTTGGAAGACGACGAGCGCGACCAATGCGACGATTTGTATTGAAAATAAGTTGTGTTTGCTTGGGAATAACCTCGCGCATCACTCACTAGATAAGAATGTTCCTAATAAACAAATGTGAATTCAAGATATTTGTAGTCACACTTATTTACATTGGCTATTGCTGTTAAGGTCTACATTTAAAAACGACTGATTCTTTATTTAGTAGGTCTATATCTGTAGGTCCAACAGCAAGCCACAAGGTGGCAGGCAAAGCTAAAAGGACTACCTGATTAGATGCTCACGACTCAACATGACAAGACACAACCAGATTTGACTGGTTTTTGGTTCATTTGAGTATTTATTGGAATATTTTAGTATTTTTTCTCTACAATATTACTTCTCTTTTTTTACTCTTACTTTGATGCCACTGTGTATGTAAGACATCTACTATGGTAAATCTATGTTTGGCATTTAGAAAACTAAATGAAAGCACCCAAAGTGCAATATGTAAAAAGACATTTTGGTGAGGTTAAAATCTATGGTAAGCGGAAATATGTATAAATGTGGTGTCTATGGCAAGCACATTACTACTTTCTCCATGTAAGAATTCTAAAATTGTCAAATTGTGCTCAAACTAATATTTCATGAGGTTCTAGAAAAATACACACACACACACACACACACACACACACACACACACACACACACACACACACACACACACACACACTCACCCAGAGCTCAGGGCCGTCCAAAGGCAACAGGTGATAAATTACAGAGCGTTCCACGCTGCTACTATCACTCCCAGTTCCTCCCTGTCTTTGTTCTGCCTTGGCAGTTCCCCTCATCCTCCCGAGCCTTTTAAAAAGCTCTTTTCTCGAAGATTAAAGACAGAAGGAAACACAAGGATCAGCGTCGTGTGGGGGCACGGATGTTTTCCTAAGGTGGGCTACAAGAAAGACTAGCCTCAAAGGTGTGCAGCAGGCGGAAAGAAAAGAGGGAGGCTTTTGCTTCCATTAGGTGCTCTGCTTACCTTTATGTGTGTCTCAGTGTCCATTGTTTCTCTCTTGTCCTCCTTCTTGTCCTCTCGTCTATTGCAGGTAACGTCATCAGTGAAGGTATTTGATTTAACTGCAGGGCAAACAAAAAGTGGCTTGCGGAGAGGCCTGCTCGATTAATTTCAGAAAGATTGTGTGAAGCAGAAAATAGCTTGGAAAGGAGGGCGGATCATTCGTGTCGCCTGCAGACAGTTTGGATCCAAGATCAAAACAAATGTGTTTACGATGAGCACATTGGGGAAGCCCCACAAAAACCCAACAACGTTCACAATGTTTACAGCTAACATTGAGTCATCTTCCAGAGGATAGTTGGGAGACAGGTGGGCTCTGTGGTTGATTGACATCTCTGTAAATGTAAAAGGTGTTCGTCACATCATGAGTCACAGGCCATACAGTAAAACAGATGGACGCCCGACAACATGCAGTTTTATGTACAGACACAAAGGACATCAATGAAGTAAGGACTATTAAGGCATACTGTGGTGTAAACATAGCCAAAAGGCTTCAATGCATTAATGAGGGAATATGAGTTTGTTTTGCATTTATTCACCTGCAGACGCAATTGAGGTTTGAGAAATCTCAAACCCAAAACTAAATGAACAAAAACTGAATGAGACAGACAGACGGTTATGTGTTGGAGCAGAGATATGTGTGTGATATGATTCAAACTGAGGGGGTGTATTTATGTTCATTCGTACAATGCACAGTGGCTGTTTTGTTTACTTCTGTTTCCATCCCGCCTCACTGTGCTCCAATCTGTGCCTTCTCTGCAGGGGAAAACTGTTGTAGGTCGTCACACATTACGGGAGACACCCCAGGCTTTTTGAATTAAAGGCAGCCTCATGATAACACTGCATTCTTTGAAATGAGTAGGAATGAGTCAGAGAGCATCTCCTTGAAGTCGTACTGAGGGTCACACTTAAGAGAAAGGTCTAGCAGATCAAGTTCCTTTTAGCTATTCATAGTTCACGTCTCTTTTTTCTTGACATTATGAAGACAGTTGTAATGAGCTATAAATAGGTAACAGCCTATTGTAGTGCATTTTACTTAGGAAAATTAAACCACAATGGGATGGTTATCTTATCGTGACTACACCCTACTGACAGCATGGTTTCCATCCATTCAGCTATGTCTGCTTATCCATGAGAGTTGAGGGAGAGTTCGAGCCAATCCCAATTGAGATTTGTATTATGCAGTTTATTCAACATTATACAACGTCTCAAAAACAAAACACTGAGACACTGCTCTGTAAAGTTCAGAAGCCGGCTTCACAGAAGTCAACCATTTCCCCAATAATTAGTCATAGTGACGTGAAGGTTACATGCTGGCGACTTCCTTTAAGGACACAGCAGACAAGGTGCTTTTGAGAGATTAACTAAAATAGATCGATGGCAAAACAAGTTATCCAGAGGCCCACTTAGCAGACAACAACACTCAATAACAAGTGTTACTACTGTTGCACAGAAGAAAACCTACTGGAGATAACTACAGACTCCACTGCTTCCCCCTATTGTAAGTTCTCTCTGTAGGTGGCCACGAAGAGGTACTGAAGTGGGACCGAGATCCAAAGGAGCCGAAGAATGTCGATGAGTTCAAGGGTCCAAGCAAACCCCAAACAGTAGCAACCCAGGCATCTCATCGCAACCACACCCCTACAAGCCAAAGTGATGCTAACGGGGGAAAACGAAATAGAGCAGAGCCTGCAAGCCGGATCACGCAAGCCAGTTGTACTGCTACATTCCCACATGGTGGACTGGCTGCAACACTTATTCAATCCAGGCTTTGCTGTAAAGCTCTGCCCAGTATGTAGATCAGCAATACACGGTAGCTTTGGGTTCACTTGACTAAAACCGATGCCGTGCAATACAAGCAATAAATGCTACATTTATGAAGGTCATATGTTTGATATGAAACAGCCTTTAAGAGGTGTTTATTCATTTCATCGTCATTTTGAGGATATAGTTGTGCATGATTTGGTTCTTCAATAAATACATTTGTCATCCAGAAAGAGGTTATTTATGTAAGAATTGTGCTCAGGGGAGATGAGATGATTGGTTTTGTTAACGGAAAGAATCCTTGCGACCTCTCCAGTGGCAGATGGCTATCTAAGCCCCAGCAGCCTCCTCCATACATCTTCTACTGCCAGTGTTCAAACTCACCTCTCTTCACCCCATCGCCACCAATTTTGTCCTCCTTCCGTCTTTCACACACCCCAGCCTGAGGGGGAAAAGGAAGACAGCAAAATGTTATTTTTGGTCAGCGGTTTGGTGCAGTAAACAAGGTTTAATTCTAAATTTAGAAAGGGAACAATAAGGTAAATAGAGCCACAAAGAAGACAATGTGATAATGTCTTAATCTGCTGTAGGTTCCTGTTATCCAAAACATGCCATCTCATCCCATCAGTTGTTATGTTTACTTCACAGTCAGTTGTGTCACAGCTTGGACTCTTGAGCATTACGGCACATTATTTCAATCAGCAACATGCCCAAATGTGTTCCGCTGAAATTCTTGGCCCCATTCCAATCCAACCAATTAATCAGTCGTGTTATGACACATAAAGACATATGGAAGGTCCTATCTGCTCTCACTTGATGCTACTTGTTAAGGAATCTCTGCATGATGTCATTCACAATGTGTGGAATTCATACAGATCTGCTGTGGAGATCATCTTGCAGGTCCTCGGCATAAAAAGTGGCGCCACATTTCCCTTCTTCTGTAGCTGACTGCAAGTGCCTTCTTTCCGTTCATCTCGTGCAATGCAAATAAGAAACCATATTTCTTAATTAAGGGTCCTTCGGCGGACGTGACTGTCAGTTTGTCTTTCGACAAATGCTTAAGTGAAAAAAAGACCCCTGCAGAAAACATCAAGAGACTTGCCACGACACAAAGGCCGAGGCTTGCTGGGTTAGACAAGGCTCTTTTCTTTACATTGTGTGTGTGTGTGTGTGTGTGTGTGTGTGTGTACCAGGCGGAAACCTCCCGGTCAGTACTTAGCTTCTCTCTATTGATAAGCAGCGGACGACTCCTGCGGTAGAAAAAATAACAGATTCTGTAGAAGTCTATAAGAAACTTTACCTACATCTCACATGATTTACGGAAACATTTTTGGTCTCAATCTGTCAATGCGTAGTTTTAAATCTTCTTTAATACATCATGGTGTTCATTTTTTACATTATAGTCTGTTTTGGGGTAAAACAGACCATGAAGCGGAGTCAACACAACCAAATCAAGTCGTCCTGATGACACTTGATAATTTCTCTGTGGAGAAGGGAGGAAACCTCATTATCTCTCACTCCTGCATATCTACGTATATATATATATATATATATATACATATATATATATATATATATATATATATATATATTAGTATCTCACATACAAGAATGAACACCTTAATTGTTGAATGTCATCTTACCTTGAATTTCAGAACTTGTAGCTCACATTCGTATATACCTCACAAATATATGCCAAATTCTTCCCTATTACCAATTTCTTCTCACACCTGCCAAACAGTCTGACAACATTTCCTCTCCATACAAAGATAATGCCATTATCATTTAAGTCTCCCACTTTTCTATGCCTTGTCCCTTTTAGTTTAGCTTTTGGGTCTGTTTTTTTTACTAAAGGTTATAAACTGTATTAAATGTAAACCAGGTGTAAAATGACCAGCATATGAGATACAAATGAAACACAAGGGGTGAGGTCTAATTTGGAGTATAATCATAATGAAGCCCAGGAAAAGAGGCACAATCTAGGTCAGTGGAACTTGTCTGTCCAAACTCTAAAAGTATGTATGCATACAGGAGCCCTTCGCCAAGTTCTGCCGTTTGCTGTTGCAAGTTCATTCATGCCCTTGGCTGGCCCTGCGGCAGAGTGTCAGTGAGAGAAAACAGTCGCCCCCTAAGGATGATGTCAGAGGCCATGA